TTGTGATGGCTGCAGGACACAGAGGAGGGTCACTTTTGTCCTGAGGGCTGCTACACTTCTCAATCTGCCCTGACACAGAATCTGTTGAGCTGCACTGAGATTTTGAAGTGAAGTGATTTTGATTTGCCCAGCCACTGGTTATGTGTACTATATGTTTTATATTGTACTCATATAAACATCAAATTAAACTTTATAGCATGTAGCCCAAAGTGCTTTACAATTAAAATCATTGCCTCATATCTACCCACCCACAACCAGATTTTTCTTCACACAAACAGTTAAATCATTGCCCCAGACACACCTTACATCTTTATACAGTACATCTGTGACTGTACTGTACTGTAAATAGCGTTAGCACATGACTCACTGTCCGTGTCACCTACACTCCCACTTCTTGACCCAAAACAAAGCAAGGGTCGTGGATATGAGAGTAACTCACTCTTAAGGCCTTCAGTAGCTGCTGCTGCTGCTGCTGCTGCTGCTGGGACTAGAGCATTGTAAGACCAGTGGCTTCTGCCCACAAGGCGAGAGCATTCTTCACACCTGTCTCCCAGGATAAGTGGCTTGTCACAGGCAAAGCTAATCTGTTGCTACGCTCAGTCACACTCAATCCCCAGTGCAGCCCCTGTGTGTCCTTGGATCTCTGCTGGCTTTGGACCCATACAAGGGGCTTCTGATCAGGGTAAACACACAGACATGTCTCTGGTCAACTAGGCTTGGCTATTTGACCACTTGGCAGGCAGGGAAGACCTTATGTAATTATCTTTCAGTGGTGAATATAACATCTTAGTATAATGATGATTGAGTACATTTATTATAGGCCACTATGTTAGCAAACCTGGAGCACATGTAGGTTAGAGAGGCCAGGTTCAACATATTCATGTTCCCCAGCTAATACTTTTGTTGTGTGCTTGAGCAACACACTTTAACCTTTATTTAGGAGAATCCAATTGAAACCACTTTTTCTAGGGAATCCTTTCCAAGAGATAGCAAATTTCAACACAAACTTGAAACATACTTGCAAAGAATAATAAAAGCACAGAATATGAAAATATTAATAACATTCTTCTAACTCTAATACATCAACTTGGATTTACTCAGTCCTTCCTGTTCCTTATTACAAACTGTGGATGCTCAAAGATGACAATTTCTTTGCAGTGTGGCCATTTACCATTCAATAAAGTAAAAGTCTGTTTGCTTGGTTCTACTCAAACTTTGACCATGATATACTGAGAAAAGTTAAACAAAAATGTGTGTCATAACATTTCACGATTAATAATCATACCATGCTCATGCAAATGGAGAAAGCGTTTAGAGCCTTAATTTTATGTTGAAGGACAGACCCTCACAGAGCACAGGTCTTTTTGTGCTTGTTCGGCGTTTGGGAGTGAGCACAGAAGTAGCATGTGGGACAAGATGTGCTGTATCATCCTATTAATGCTGCTGTCCTTCACGCGGCACACAGGACGCTCACAACTGGAACCAGCTCTCGTATCATCATCATAATACTACACACGCCTAAGACAAGACTCAGAGGTTAAACTGGATACACTTACAAGCTGAGCTTTTGATGGCTTTTGATATCAACAGAGCTACTACAGAAACAAAACACAAGCTAGGGAGTACTCGCTTCATGTGGGAAACTTTGATCAAGATTAAAGGTGCATTATGTAACTTTTCAGGTGGAGGGTTTGCCAGTTGCTCATGTTTATGGAGATGTTATTGTTTTGCCTGAAATGCTCCACAGTATGGCATCAAACACATTTATGTCCATGTAGAAAAGAAAGGGGTGCCATCAGGACAAGTTACGGGTGAGCTCTGTGGAGAAGGGACCCCACTAAAGGGTTTTAAGGTATTGTTGAGCCATTAAAACACATATAATTTAATAAATGCAAGATTGACCAGTTAAGTGCAATTCCATGCAAGTAATAACATTTCCATGGAGACAAGCAGGTGACAGCCCTTTTCAGAAAAGTTACACAGTGCACCTTTAAAGAAAAATAATTGTGGAGTGATTTTTAAGGTGTTCATATGTAATAGAATTTATAGATGCTGTTGGCAAACAATTCTATACAGAATATAGAGGTGCCCTAACCTTAGCATAGTTCCACAATTTGCATGACTGACCAATTATTTATTGACAAAAAATAAACAAGCATTTTTGATTCAAATTAGCTCCAGACAAGTTGATATTCACAGAGTTTATCAAGCAACCTTGGCTTTTTTTTTCCATCACATTGTCTATGAGCACATGCCTCAAACTAAAAATAAGTGACAGGTGACACGTTCAGACCTGACTGAAGAAAGTAGTCAACTTAATTTATACAACATTGGTCTGGGCTTCAGGTCTCTCAAGCCTCACTCACAGTCCATGTATAATGAGTGTTCATTAAAGTGTCAGTCTGGAAGTGAGCGCTAACAAATTGGTTCAAAGTACATGGGTCCCAAAAGTCTGTGCAGAGCTGGAGCTGCTGAGATTCAATGTCATGAACCAAACTCAAAACAAAGTCAAAAGTTGTCCATTAATGAGATTAATTAATTAATTATTCATGTATTAATTAATTTTTAATTAATCATTGCATTTATATAGCGCCTTTCAAGATACCCAGAGTGTCAAGATTTACACTAGAGTATTAGAAATGCTTACAAAAATGTGTAAAGATGGTCAAATCAACACTGTGCAACTAAGGCTGCAAAACTATGTACAATAAGTGGTTCTGACTATGTAGCTAGCAGGTGACTTCAGTGTATTTTACAGGTGGTAATTCACATTAATTTATTCATCTTTCCCATTGCTGATCTTATTCAGGATGAAGCAGTATCAACAGCTGTATGGGTCTTAGGTGCACAAAGGCACAAAGACACAGACAATAACTGGTTCAGAATTGTCCAGTAAAAAAGCCTGGCTTCTTGGGTGACAGATTTCACACTTGTCATTTGGACACAACACGTCCTGTCATTCAGGAAGTGTGGATCACTCATATTTGTGTACTCATTTGAATGTGTTAACAATTCTCAAAACTTTCCAAAGACCACAGTTTTACAGTTAATCGATCATATAAAAGGACCAAGACTATCATTACATTTATACAGCACATTTCCAGGCACTTTACAAATTTGTGGTAGGTGAACAGTCATTTGATTGAATTTTTTTATTGACACCAAAACTGAAGTATCTACCAAAAATAAATATATTATGTCACCTTTTTCATGTAATTATTTTATCAAAGAAAAACATTTAATCTTTTCATTTTTAGGTTGAGCTAAAAGCTTTATGTTTAATTAGCTAAATATTTTGATATATTATAATACGTTTTTCAACGGGTAAACAGTTTTTGAGAGTTTTGCTTTTGCTTTTCTGAGAGTTTAAATTTACCAAACAAAACAAAGACAGCTTGGGCAGAAATGATGACTGCTACAAAATCATGAGCCAAGGGGACTGTATAATATCAGGAGGCCTAATAATATCCGGAGAACACTCTCCATTCATTGGAGCTATTTAAAACACAGGAAGTGGGGGAAGCCTTTGGCCAAATGCGCTGACTCAACCGGAGCCTATTTGGATCCTGTTTTTTGTGTTTCATACAGTACCCAGCTCTGATGCGCTGAGTGTACAGTGGATATGTCAGCTCTGATATGTTCATGCATCCCACTGTGGTCAGGGCATGACTCATTGAGATAAGTTTAAGCAAATTTACAACAGAAAAATAATGAAGCACAAAAATAGAGCTTGATACCAAATGCATTCACTGTAAATGCAACAAATAACACCAGGTACTAAAATGTAATGTAGTGTAGGAAATACTGTAAAAATGTGTTGTCACAACATTCAAGCATGATTTCAATACTAAGGAAAAGATACCACACCACATAGAATAGATTTAAAATTTCAACAAAATATTTATGTTTTGGGAATGCATATATTTTAGCAGCTCTAACTGTAGTAAAAATATGTCAATTTGAAAGAGAATGCAATTTTCTTTTTATTCTTTGTATTTTCTAAACTAATCTGAAGGCATCATCTTTACAAAAAACAATTTGAACAAGTTTTTCAATTCTCAATCTGTATTATTCATGAAGCATTTAGTATTGTCAGCCCGCAGTCATTCACACAGTCTATTTAAAATTCAGGAAGTGATTCACAATAATCTGTTTTGATCAAAAGCTTCATTGAATTATAAGTGTGATAAAGTGCTGCTGGCTCTGATCTTTCCGACTCACCGCATGGGCAGGCCAGACCCATCAAACACATGGACTTTAGCTGCAGTCTCCTCATGGCATCCTTAACTGTGGTATTTTTTTAAACCTAAGCCGTAATATTGATCCACATGAGGGCCTGGGAGAAAAGAACATAACTTTTATTTATCTGTTTGTATTAATATGAACACACAAAAAGACTGTAAAATGTAAATACAGGGGAAACAGATTACAATAGTTAATCAACACTGCAATTGCAAATGAAAGATTGTTAGACATTTTACAATTTTACTACAACTTCTGTCCTCATGTAAAGGGCTCATATTACACTATTTTCTGATCTATGTTATGATGTTTCCTCATCCAAAACATAACTGAAGTTGTGGTTTGTTTCAGTCACACGTTTGAAACAAACCATGCATATTTACTTCTTCTCTCAAACAGAAAAGCTGTAATTTTCAATTTAAGGCTACCTTTTACCTTTTGTTCAGAAGAGACTGACAAGTCCACGGCTGAAATTATCCAAATGATTTTAGTGGTGTTGTATGGAGTTTAAAAACACAGTGGAACACTAGGTGGGACAGAGTGTTTTCCATTTCCATTAAACAAAACACAACTCTGGGTATGTTTTTTGATGAGTAAATTATATTATAACATAGATTATAAACTCGTGTAATATGGGTATTAAGAGTTGACAAATTATTGCATTCACTTTATAACGCAGACTTGGTGAAGCTAAACTTGAATTTGAATAACTATGTAGTAACATTACATCTAATTACTTCTTCTGTCTCTATCCACAGCCAATCCCACTGGTGGCAGTCCTAAAGGTTTCCCCGGGTCGGCGGAGGTCTTCAGGGAGTCGAGCAGCACGACAGGGATGGTGGTGGGCATCGTAGCAGCTGCCGCCCTCTGCATCCTCATCCTTTTATACGCCATGTACAAATACCGCAACAGGGACGAAGGCTCTTACCACGTGGACGAGAGCCGAAACTACATCAGCAACTCGGCGCAGTCCAACGGCACTGTCGTCAAGGAAAAACCTGTCAACACCGCAAAAACGTCGGGCAAGAACAAGAAAAATAAAGATAAGGAGTACTATGTGTGATACGAGGAACTTTCTATACTGGATTGACTTGACTGAAAAGACAAATCATGTGTACAGTATAAACAAAGATGATAAAAACACTATTTAGTCATTTATTTCCTACGTGTTGGAAACTAAATGAAGGGAAATGACTTGAAGAGACTGTCTGAAAACTCTGGTTATAAGTGAACAGAAGACCAAACAACATTATCCCATATGTTGCTTAGTTTGGCGTCACGAACAGCATCATCTATCTCCTTTGTTCTTGGTACAAACAAGGGGGCACAGATGCACTTTACAAAAAAGGGAGATTCAGCAACTCAATGTTTTCATTTACATTGCCTGTGTTTGTGTTGTTGAGACATTTTTCTAGCCGAAAGAAATATTACATGCATAACTACACCAATCCGCGTTGGACTAAAAAAAATATCGGATAGTGGAGATCTATGGATGTCCGTGGGATCAGCAGCAAAAATACAGCCAGGAAAGACTTACACTTGGCTGAGCTGCTGTGGTGGTACCAAGATAAGAACAGGATTACGGTTTCTTTCAAAAGACCACATTTTAGAGGAACAAAATGTCCATTGTGCCAGTAAAGAAATCTGGATGCCTTTTCGTTTGAACTCCGAATGGTGAGTTCTTTCAATAAGTCCGGAGAGGAGAGGACAGGAGCCAGCCATGCACGCAAAATTATCTTAAACCAGTACATATGTTTATATACAGTACAACCACCAATCTATATGTGCTTTCTGGACTGTGACAAAGTGGTGTTTTATAGCCTGTTGTATAGATGATGCAAAACTATAACTGCTCCTCGAACCATTTCTTTTGGAATAAAATGGATAAAACGTGGACAAAAAGAGAACATAAGTGTTATTAAATGTTGCTAGACATAGACAATTTTATGAAGACATCTGCATAAAGAGTTTGGTTTTTCAGTTGGGTATTTCCTCCTATTTTTACATGTGTTACTTATATAATTTTTATACAAAACAGTAGCCAACCCAGTTCCCGCCAAAACAAACTGCAAAATGCTGATAAAATGGAGAGGTATGGCAAAGTTGTGTGGCTGTCTTTCAAAGGGATTCTGGTAGAAAACACTGCCTTCCTCTGTATCCCCTGGTGCAACATGAGTGAGAGAATGAATGGATGTGTGGTAATGTGCAATGGCTACACCCAGGCCAGCTCCAAATAAGAGTTCATTTCAACTGTTCTGTGTATGTTCTGTCATTCTGTCAGTCACTTCTGCTTTCCAGAGACCTGTGCTTGGAATGAGTATGAGGAAAATTATCATGAACTATAAATGACAATTATCAAGGCTCTTTGTTTGCTCATTTTTTCTTTACTTGTTTTTTCATTGTAAATCTTCTTGTACCAAACATAAAAATATACGAAAATAGTTTTTGGGGAAATAAATGAATAAAATAAATAACAAATTAAATGCTAGTGACCTCTTTAACAAGTTCAGGCAAACACAACTTTGAGGCCATTATTCATCAGGATTTGGAAAATTGTGTAATGTTGTTTATTCCTTATAAATATGCAAGATGCTCAGTGTTTAAGCATGGGTCATAAACAAAAAACTAGTTCATTTTATGCACAAAAAAAACTTAGCATCATTATAACATCCATAAATGCATATTAATAATACATGCTGAATAATGAGACAAAACTCACCCAGAATGTGGCATGAAAGAAGTCTCACCATTCACTCTGCACTGCTGCAGATGCAAATGAGGTTTACGCAGAAGCTTGTAGCCGACATTAAGAGGGGATAAAACAGATAAGAGACACTCAAGATGTCACTTTTTTTTTCTTTTTTTTTTTTAGATAATCTGTCTACCCATCAGCTAAAGTTCACTAGGCTAAATGAATAGTATGAGCCAGTTCTTTACTTAGATCTTAGTTAGACCTGACTGGTGTAATATTCAGAGGATCAGATATACATGGTACTTGACAAAGGAGTGTCTTTACAGAACAGAGATGAGAGCCATGGATAAGAGCCCGCTCGGCTCAGGCCTGCACTGTGGCTGAGGGCAGACTCTACTGACAGAGCTCCTCACAGCTCCTCCTGATCGGAGCAGTCCACACAGAGAAATGGGAAACGCGCACAAAGGTGTGATGTAGCGGATGAACCGGATTGAAGGCTGCAGCAGCAGATGGTTCCCCCAGAGAGTCGGCCGACTGTCACAGCTTTTCATCAGCTGCCCAAGCAGCTTTTAATGTGATAACGTGCTCTGTGTGATATGTTACAGATTTCCATATGGAGAATCAGCTTTTCACTTGGCTGCATACTGCCCAAGGACACATCCACGCACACATGCTCACGTACTAGTTCATTACACCATTACAGAGGCATATTTTTAAAAGTATATGATAAATTAAAATCATTTCAAATGTGTTTAGTCATATGTCTGCACTGTGGCCTTTACTGAGTACAGCGAAGCTAGTACAGTTACAACACGTCTTCTTTTACTCTTTTACTTAAGCATATTTTTACATGGAATATAAGAGGTCCTTTCTCTGCAATATGACTGGAACTATTACTTAGGAGCCTGTTAGAGCCAATACAAGCTAAGAAGAAGAACCCATTATTTCTATGTAAACAAGTAACCCCTAAGATTTATTAAAGATAGTTCCTGAAGGAAAGTGAGTTTAGATGAGTCAATAAAAACATGATCTGAAGACTCTTTGCAAATACAGTACAAATTACATTGTCCTCAGGTATAATAAATAATAAAACAAAGATATGGTGTACAATTTAAAGCATTAGTTAGAGACTGCCTGAGGTTGCAGAATAGTGAAATTACATTACCTTGCAACACATTTATTATGAAAAATGTCATTAGTTTCTCACAGGGGAAATGGTATTGACAGCTGTCTGACTCTTGATATGTGCACCAACCACAGCAGCCTCTAATCTCACATCAATGACTTCAACTGCCAGGGTTTATGTAAGATGTGCAGAGTTCTACATACACAGTGTACTCCTGTCTCCTACATACACAGTGTGGTCCTCTCTTTTACATACACAGTGTAGCCTCATTTCCTACATATGCAGTGTACTCCTGTCTCCTCTCCTGCATGAACAGTGTAGTTCTGTCTCCTACATACACAGTGTAGTTCTGTCTCCTACATACACAGTGTAGTTCTGTCTCCTACATACACAGTGTAGTTCTGTCTCCTACATGAACAGTGTAGTTCTGTCTCCTACATGAACAGTGTAGTCCTGTCTCCTACATACACCAGTGCAATTTATCACTCGCACATCCATAAGAGCTGAGCTGAGTTTGCAAAGTCAGTCCACCTCCAGCCTGACCCTGACCCAGACAGGGTCAAGACTTTTTTTTTTCAAAATCACATCACGATCGTTGAGTTGTGGACACATCTGGACTGCAACAACACTACTTTAGTGTAATAGGACACAAAAACATACTTATATATTATAATCCTAATCCCTTGTTCTGATCAGAATCCTTGTCAAATTGTGTTCACATTATTTAGGCAAGGTTGAGTGGGACACAAATTTCAATATTTAAATACAAAACAGAGTTTTTACAAAGAGATCCAAAGGAGCCGCAGCCTATTGCTATGTCTATCTAACCCTTATCTCACAAACACTACACACACATTATTGATCATTTGTGGAACAGTCACTCAAAACAGCCAATGCTTTTGACACACTGATGATGATTCCTTTGACACATTGATGGATTGTGAATAAGTTTCCTCCTCTGGCTGCTGGCTGACCCTAGGGTGAGAAGCTAGAAGCAAACCTGATGCTTCTCCACTTTGAGAGGAGTCTGCTGAGGTAGGGCATCTGATTTAGGTGCCTCTCACACAACACCTTGTGGAGGTGTTTTGGGTCAATGAGAGGAAGCATGGAGAAGAAAGGACACACTAGACTACAAGGACATGTCTCTTGGCTGGCCTGGGTATGACTTTGGATCACCCTGGGGTGCTGGAGAAAGTGTGCATAAGAAAGCCCTCCAAAATAAAGTGAAAGAAAATTAATAGAACGACAAAATGGCCATCAGGTAACTATGGATCTCAATATTATGCCTAAAGGTCCTGTATTACACAAAACTGACTCTTGTGAGCTTTAAGCCATGTTATAATGTTGTTTCCTCACCAAAAATCTGGAGTTGTGTTTTGTTTCATTCACACATGTCTGGGTATTCATTATTAGTCTGTCTACACCTCTAAAGCTCAAAAATGCTCTGTTCCACCTTGTGATAACATGTAGTGATAGTTTTCAAGTTAACAGCTCCTTTTACCTTTTGTTCAGTAGAGATTGGCAGTTCCAGGACTAAAATCATCCAAAAAATTCTAGTGAAGGTGTATGGAGTTTAAAAACCCAGTGGAGCCATTCCTGTATTACCACATGACATTACAAAGGAATGGCATTAAACAAAAGAATGACTTGGTGTTTGAGTATCCACATGTTCCATAACATCAGAACTGGTTAAACACTTTTTAAAATCTAACTTTACATTGCACCTACAAAACATTGTTTGCATCAAACTCAAAGTGTGAAGAACAAGGTTATGACAGCATCACCTCTCTATACTTACACACAATTATTCCAAAAATGTCCCCAAGACTCCACTGTTAGTGCAACCAACAAAAGCATAGCACATCTGGGCCTAGTCTGGCACAGACGTCACATTCAACCTTCTGGCTGTCCCAATATGGCCCTATAGTGACTGTGTGGGAGAAAGCACTGGTTCAGTTTGTGCCAAAAGGATAAGTCAAGGTGACGACGAGTTAAAATGCCACATAACTAAATTCTAAAGGTCTAGAAAACCTGTTTCCTTTTACATTACATTACAGAATTATCCCTCTTATTCACATAAGCATTCATGTTGAGATAATGACATTACAAGGACGAAATTGAACCTTTCCTCAAATAGCTTTAGAATGGTCTTCATCTACAGCACAGCCTGTATGAGACCACACGGTAATATTACTGTAGAGAAACCTCCATTATGTTTGCACTGGAAATGGCATATCAAAATTGT